CTAGGTTTGTCTCATTGGATTAACACACCAGCTGACAAGCATGGTCTGGTACTAACAATAAAATGAGCAAATTACCCAAAGTGGTGCAGCTCTGTTGGTTGCAGGGGGTTGAACAAGGCAAGGAGAAAATTACTGTTCGAGTTTCACCAAATACCATATTTTAGAGGTAAGAAATACTATAATTCTAGACCACGGATCCAAACTTCGGATTAGTTTCGGAGGTGGCTAAAAAGTCAAATCTGTGAGAAGACAGGAAAATGTGACTCAACTCAAACAAGTAATTAAGATCAATTATAAAATAATAAAAATAAAAGGATTTAATATTTATCTTTTAAAATGATATAAAATTATGTCATTTTAAGTTAAATAAAAAAAAGACATAAGTAATGAAAATGACGAGAAAAAATTTAATTTAAATTTTAGATAAAATAATATTAATTTATATCTTTCTACCCACCTAAAATAACATAATGCTACAAAGATTTCTCTCAAAATAAAATGAGCAAATTGTCACATGCCAAAACTAGGAACTGCTATTTTGTTCTTGTTGTTCTGCTGGGACTTTAGTGCCCAACATTACACCAAAGAAAACAAGAATCCCAAATAACCGACACATGTAAAAAAGTTTGATGAAAATCATGCAACTGGACAATTTAATGCAAAAAAACCCACTACTAATCTCATCAACTCCAACCACCGTGGGTCAACAACTCCAATAATGAAGGGAACTTACACCTCTCATAATTTTTTTTTTTTTTTTATCAAAAACACTTTCTCATCATATTTTTAGTAATTATATTTTTCTGATCTAAAATATTAATTTTCTCCTCTACTAAATGCTCTCTAATTGTGTTGCTAATTTTGGGAATTAGGGTTTCGATAATTTGAAGCACATAACCACAACTGAGATGCAAAGCGGAACTGTGTATTGCACTTTTGTATTTCATTTACTAGGGAAAATATATTTACAACCTCAAAGTTTTATAATCTCTTATCACTAAATTTTAATCGTTGATTTTCATTAATTTAACAGTCAAAATTTATTGAAAATTAATAATTAATTAATAAATATAATCCAATAAATTATAATCATTAATAGTTGAAATTTAGTGATAAGAGATTTTAAAAATTTTAGGTCGTAAGTATATTCCTCCTTTTTTTTATTTGTTGTAGTTTCACTTTTCTTTTGTTAATATGTTATATAATCATTCTTGAAGAGTTCACCCATGTCAATCCTTTGGGTTCACTCTTTTTTTTACTGCTTAGTTTGGAGCCAAAGATTGATGTGGCAGTGAAAGTGTGTTGATATAATATTCGCATCTTCTTTTGCTGAGTCTTTATTCATTCATTAATGGATGCATACAGAATTAAATGGTGATTGATGACGACATCAATTTTCCAATGACAAACAAATCTACAAGATGGCATGAAAGATAGTCTGGTGGTATTAAAATAATTTCTAAAATCAATCAAATAATTTCTCTATCAAGTCTCCCTCACGATAGATATAAAAAATTCCCTACTTTAGTATCTTTTAGTTTTATTACTTATTTGTGGTTGTTAATGCTCAAAGGTACGACAAGAAAAGTCTTCTTGAAACCACAATGATTGAATTTACCCCTTACTATTTGTCAGGGTTCTAATTAACTATTCCGCTGCAGAAGATGTAAAGATACAAATAACGGTTACAGAATCTTACAAGCTACAAGGGTTGCACGATAGTATACGTTTGCATGTGGATGTAGCATTAGGAAAGAAACTAATTAAGTTAATTTGTTCCCTTGCAGGTTTCGAGCAAGACTTACATTTTATAGAGACCAAACTCGTAAGTTACTTAATATGTGGGTGCAGTATTATTTTGTTCTTCCTTGTACGTTTCAACTTCCATTCAACTTGTAACAAAATATATTCTCCCACTTTCCAGAAATAGAAAGTGGTTAGAAACAGCGAGTATTCTACTTTTATGTGCATTTATGCCCACAAACAAGAGCTAGCTGTCAAGTGTCAAATGACAACACAAGCAATTATGGGCAAAAACTATACTGGCTTATATAAACCGCTAAAGCACCATTTCAAAAAAAATTGGCAAAAAATTGTCCACTTGATTGGATAAGTTTTTTCAAAGTAGTGCAGTTAAACATGTCACATATGCTAGTCCCGTCACTGACACTGACGTGCCACGTAAGCAGTCAAGTTATCGTAAAATTTTGGAAGGCCATAACTTGTGACTCGGGTATCCAAATTAGATGATTTTTTTTTATTTTACATAATTTTTTCGAGATCTACACAATGACACCTAATTTGATATATTTTATATCCCACAGACATAGTTTGAATTTGTAACAATTGTACCATAATCACAACAGCGTTTAAATTTAGAAGATCTTCAAACTATGTTTGTGGGAGTTAAAATATGTCAAATGAGATGTCATTTCGTAGATCTCGAAAAGTTATGTGAAATAAAAAAAATCTGATTTAGATACCCAAATCATAAGTTATGACCCTCCAAAGTTTTACGGTAATTGAATTGTCTACGTGGCACGAGTTACTGACGGGACTCTCGTCAGCATATGTTACATGTTTGACTGCATTACTGTGATAAAACTTATCCAATCAACTTTAACTGAGCAATTCTTTTGCCCAAAAAATTTAAAATTGTGTTTTTTCCTATATAAACCTTAATATTAGGTTCAAACTTTGGGGTTGTTGTATTTTACATCCTTACAGAGAGGTCTAGAAATACTGAAAGAATGGAGAATGATTCGTTTATAATTTTTTTTTACAAATTACACTAAGTCGAATCGGTCAAAACTCTTGATTGAAGTATGACCGGCCAGACATAGTATAGTTTGTAAATATAACATTCCCCTAAAAGAAATATATAACTGTGACAACATTTAAAAATTAATTTCATAATTTATATAAATATCTTGGAAAAGAAAAAAAATTAAAAACCCTTATTAATACAATGAATCATTGATTAAGACAATAATTTAATATTAACGTTATATGTAAGCATAGGAGCTAAGCAAGTGGGGATGAAAGCATGTGTTGGAATCTCTCCAATACTATTTTTGGGAGGGATTTAAAGCTTAATCCTGAACCCGCTCTGAATCAGATTAGTTGCGAAGCAATGAACCAATTGGAATATTTTAAAAAACGAAAAGCTTAATAAATACAGGCAAACAAGACAAACGATTTTTTTGACTAATATTAAAAAATGTTATCATATCATTCAATTGTATATTATTCTATTTTTGATAAATTTGATATTTCATATATTATCAAACAATGTAAATATTTTTTTACGCTGAAGGTGAATCAAAATTATTCCGTTTAAACATTATAAGAGATGTAAAAAAGAATGTGCTAATTTAAAACTTGTAATGAATTTATTCAGATTTCAGGCCCTTTTTATCTTTCATGTGAGTCTGGCCTCGTTTGGATGAAAAAGATTTTTTTTATGCTTTGCTTACTTTAGAAATGTCTTTTATAGAAGATAAAGCTACTTAGATTTTCAAAAAAATATTTAGTTTTTTCAAAAAAAAATTGCCTTTCGACTTCTACTTTTTTAGAAGCTATAATTTTCAACTTTCAAAAAAATCAGACTTTTGACTTATTATATTTTTTTTAGAGATCTATTAATCTCATGTTCATGAAATAATTATCTCATGCAACAGAGACAAGATAGTGGAGTTCATCATTTGTAAAAAAACAACAAAATAATAATAATGTGGACTCTACTAATTTTCCTCTGTTGCATGAGATAATTATTTCATGCAACATGAGATAATTATTTCCTATTTTTTTAAAGCAAATATCCAAAAAGACTTTATAGTAAAAGTATTTTTTTTTCTCAAAAAAGAGCAACTTTTGGCTAAAAAAATGGTCATTCAAACGGGCCATAAAGGCATCCTCAAACCTAGCAGTTAGAGCCTTAGAGGTGTTCATCAGCCGATCCAAATCGATTCAAACTGAGGTGTCCGAATCAGAAAATCGATAATCGAAAAACCAAAAATCGAAAAAAGTCACATATTTTAATTGGATTGAATTGATTTTCGATTTGGTTGGTGAAAACTGATCCAAAATCGATCAAATGTATTATACATTTCTTATTTTTGAAAGATTGTGACTTGAAATCTTGTTATTTTGTAAACTTGGAATCTTAGATGTTAAGGATATTAAACTATCTTGTTTTATTTTTTTATTATCTATTAATTTATTTTAATTATTCATGAGTTTCAAGACTTAATTTAGTTTGAAGACTTGAACTTTTGAGTAGTTTGTAACTTTAAATGACTTTATTTTAATATAGCTAGTGATTTATATTGTAGAAATTTTAAGTTTTCCGAAAAATCAAAAATCAATTCTGTTACGAAATATATTCATATCCTAACTACCTACCCAAGAATCTTTTAAAAGATAATGACCCAATTATCCCAACAGCATGAAACAATGGAGTTAACAAGGATAGAATCCTCATCCCTACAAAAGAAGAGTTGAATCCTACTACAATTGGGAAGATATACACAACCCAAGAGGTAACCCCTATAAATACAAGACTCAAGATCCCAGGTACACATTATGAACTTATTTACTTCCCATTGTGCACGCACACACTCACATCTCGGCTATAAGCTTGTTTGTGCGCAATAATTAAGATATTAGCTATAAGTCAACTAAGATACCTATCTATAAGATATCTCTGAGCGCATACCATAGAGTATAGGATTAGTGTTCTCTAGGACACGTTATTCGCGGTGCACAGTTTGCTTTAAAAAAAAAGTACATAAAAAATTAACACAGAAAAAGAAAACAAGAATGTGATAAAAATTAGAAAATAATTCAAAAACAGAACCAAACAAACAAAGCAACGTTTCCGTTTTTGTTTTGGCCGAAGCCGTCGAGGGGGTCCACGGGAGCTGAGCCACTGCTTCAACGGACTCCTTCTATTTTCTTCCTCTCCCAAGGTACCCCTCTCACTTTCCTCTTCTTCTCAGATTATCTTTGTCTTTTTTAATTTCAATTTTTTTTTGTTTTTGTTTGGGCAACTAGTGATAATTCTTTTGGCTGTTTCTGGATCTGGGGTTGTTTTCGTTTCGGATGAATTTTGATGGGTTTGTGCTGTTTTTCAGTTGTTCATGGCTTCTGGTTGTTTGAATTTTTTTTTGTTGTTGTCGTTTTAGAGTTTTTCAAGGATCGTTCATGTCCCTATCGATAATTATGGTTCAAATTTTTGCTTAGTGCCTCATTTATTATTATTATTATTATTTTTTAATTTAAAATTTTTGTTTAAATTTCCAGTAGGGATGTGCTAGATTGTTTTTGCAGTTCTGTTGTGAAATTTAAAGCTGGGGAAGCTCAAATCTTTAATGATTGTAACTTTTGATCTGACTCATAAGTGATTACTTGGGGTTTTTATTTGCTATGATTTTTGTCCTTTACCTTAATTAGCTATCATACAGTGAATGATGTGAGTCTCCGTGTCATTGTTTTGCAGATCAGCAGATTTTTAAGGGGAAGAAGTGTTGTTGGCTGAGGGGTCAAACTTCTGTTTTCTAATTTCTGTTCTGTCTTCTACTTACTTACTCTTCAGATTCATGGCATTCTGAGCCTAACAGTTACAGTGAATGTCTTTATCAAACATCAATCAAGTTGAGCTTCTTCAAGGATTTTGACCTCAAGTGGGGTTTTGGTGGTTGGCAGTTAAACAAGAAGATCAAGTTTGACTTTTGTCTTTAGTAATCTTATTTTGTCAAAGTTGTTGTCCATTGCTCCTAAACCAGATCTTTCAGAAAGAGAATTATTTGGGTAAATTGCTTGTTTCTGATATTTCTGGGGTTTGTTGAGGAATAAGAAAATTGTTATGGCTGTTGCCAAGGGCAACAGCAGCGGTGAACCTTCAACTTCATACAATTGTTACAAAGTAGCAAGCTTGACTGAAACCATATTAGATACAAAGCAAACCTCTAATTTGAAAGATCGGTACATTCTTGGGGAGCAGTTGGGTTGGGGTCAGTTTGGCGTCATAAGAGAATGCTCTGACAAGCTGACCGGAGAGGTTTTGGCCTGCAAATCAATTGCTAAAGATAGGTTGGTTACCTCAGATGATCTGCAGAGTGTTAAACTTGAGATTGAGATAATGGCTAGGTTATCTGGGCACCCAAATGTTGTGGATCTCAAGGCAGTTTATGAAGAGGAAGATTTTGTTCATTTGGTGATGGAGCTTTGTGCTGGAGGGGAGCTGTTTCACAGGTTAGAGAAGCATGGGCGGTTTTCTGAATCTCAAGCCAGGGTTCTCTTTAGGCATCTCATGCAGATGGTTTTGTACTGTCATGAAAATGGGGTTGTTCATAGAGATTTGAAGCCTGAGAACATTCTCTTAGCAACTAGATCCTCGTCATCTCCAATTAAATTGGCAGACTTTGGGCTTGCAACCTACATCAAGCCTGGTACTTGCTTTCTTTGCTTCCTTTTGCAGATATTAATCTTGTTTGCAATTTCCATTGCTCCATTGAAAATGCCTGGTTTTCATCTTCAATTATTGGGGTTTGTTTAATCAGGACAAAGTTTACATGGGTTAGTTGGGAGTCCGTTCTATATAGCTCCAGAAGTACTGGCAGGTGCATATAACCAGGCTGCTGATGTTTGGAGTGCAGGGGTTATTCTTTACATTCTACTGAGTGGGATGCCTCCATTTTGGGGAAAGACAAAATCACGCATATTTGAAGCTGTTAAGGCTGCTGACCTGAGGTTCCCATCTGAACCTTGGGAACGCATTTCCGAATCAGCTAAAGATTTGATTAGGGGAATGCTCTGCACTGAACCTTCTCAAAGGCTCACTGCCCAGGAGGTTTTGGGTAAGTTACACATGTTTTCTTTTGCTGTTAATAATGCCTATCTACTGAAGCTATTTGATATTTTGATTCATATTCATCGTTGTAGGTGTTCATGGAAAAAAATATTGGAGTTGTTGAGACGCAATAATGACAGTTCAATTGAGAAATAGACTATTATTCAATTATTGAACATAAAAGGAATAATACTATATTATTAAATACAAAATAACTTAATTTTAAAGAAACAATTATATTTTTATTCAGCTTTGCTAACCTATGCCTGACAGTTCTGTTGGATTTCAGTATGGAGAATGTTTCACCAATACATTTATGCTGTAACACTTAAAATTATTAAAACTAAAAGGGGATGTCTGTTTCTGTTATCTTGTTTTGCTGCATTTTTTTTTTGGTATTCTATGTTCAGCCTTCAGCCTTCTTCTTATTCTTTGTTGCTACCCTTTATCCTAGTATATGAGTGTTAGAAATATCACCTGGTGCATTTGCTATTACTCCCAGACACACTAAGATTTTTCTTTTGTATTGTTTTCTTGTTTTATAGCCCTTTTGTACTCTTTAACCTAATATTTGATTGATATAAATATCACCTGTTGAATTTGCTATTACCCAGCATATTTCTCAGGTGTACACCTAGAATTCTCTTTTGCCATGTTTTGTTATTTTACTGACCTTAGATTTTATTTTTTATTTTTTTGGTTGCGTGCTGCTTTTTCAAAAATGATCTTCAAAGCTATCATTTAATTTGGTTTAATTATTGCTATGGTGCAATTGCATAAATTAATTAGATGAACTGTGGTTGTAGTAGTCCCAAAGAAGAAGAAGAAGAAAGAAATGAGAACCCAAAAATCTATTTTCTAATCTTCATTTGAACTTTCCCTTTGTAGATCATTGCTGGATGGAAAGCAATCAAACAAATTCCGAACAACTAAATGAACATAAAATCAGAAGTTGTGGAGAATGGGATGTTGGTGGAAACTCATTCTCTGCCTCGTTTATGTCCAGGAATCAGGACATCAGCTTCGGTGCTGGATCACCTACATGTGATGCCCAATCACCTACATGTGATGCCCAATCACCTACATTCACATGCAGATCATCATTTTCTTCCTTTTTGGTGGAACCAGTGACACCATGTGCTGTTTCTGGTGGGTTTTCATTTCAGAGCTCAGGTGGTTCCTCTGGTTTGGAATTTTCTTCTCCTGTTACCACAATGCCTAGCTTTGCATTTCTCAGCCCCAGTTCTGTTGTTGAACAAAGGAGTCATATATTAGAGTTCTCAACTAACACATCAGATGGAAATGCAATTACTGGAGGTAAGTATAGAATTTTTCATTTAAACTATCTTCATTTTTCTTTAGCTCTTTAATCGGATATATATTATTGCTTCTACTACCAGAGTCTCCCCTTTGCTTTGGCCATGATGTTAAAGAAATGGATTGCAAGCCTGTGGAGGCTAAAAGGGCAGGTGGAACAAATTGGCATAGTGCATTGGGATTCCACAGCAAGAGAAACCGGACAATTGGACTTGGTGAGCGTGATCAACTTGATCTTGTGGTGACTGAATCAGTCATTCGTTGGTCATCATGCACACAACTTCCTACATCACCGAGATCATCTCTTGTCTGTTGAAAGGATACACTCTTGGATATATTAATGGAATAGCTTGATGTAATGCCTAAGTTTGGAAGTTTTGTCTGCTTAACACATTGTATATGTTTCCTGAATATGCATGGGGTTGCTTTCTTCTGGTTGTTGTGAGTTGTGCTTTAGATTTTGTGGCAGTTTGATGGTAGTGTGTTTCTGATTGTTAAGTTGTTGTAATGAGTAATGACTCACTATTATTTTATTTATTTTTCATCTTCCTCTGCCTTCTCATGTTAATTTTTATTTTTATTTTTGTAAATTCCTTCTCATGTTAATTACCATGAGAGTGAGTATAGAGCTGGTTAGAGTTTGCGGGCCAGCCTCTTAAGCTGTAATATGATCTAATTGGTTGGATTAGGATTTATCTGCATGCCAAAATATTTTCTTTATCAAAATATAATATTTAAATAAAGCAAAAAATATAATAAAAAAATTGAATATAAATGTTTATAGGGGTTTAATTTTCTGCAATGGCGTCGGAGAAGATATGTTTGTCATAGAGGTTTTTTATTTTTTTTAAAAATGAGACCCACTAATTAAACAAAAAAAGAAGCAGCAGTTAGCACATAGTATATTTTCAGAAATACACTGTCTGCGCCAGAAAATTATTTCTGCCGAAAACTGTTTTCTAATGTTTACATAAATATATATATGAGATATATTTTTTTTATGTTGTAGGAAAAAATTATCTTATGTTGTAGAAATAAAAGTATAAGTGAGACTCACAGGTAAGATGAGAGAGAAAAAAGAGTGGTGAGACTCAATCTTTTCTTGTATGTGTAGGAGAGTTGTTTATCTCATGTAAAATGAGATAAATATAACCGTATATATATACATATAAATATATAGATTTTAATATTTCTACTGTAAATATAGATAAATTATCTACATTTACTCCCAAGACAATGTTATTTTGGATTTGAAGATTAAAAAATTATAATGAAGAAGACTATTATAACCTTAAAATAAATTATAATTATAAAAATATCTTGATTTTCGTCCCAAAACGATGTCGTTTTGAGTTCAATATACATAATTTATTTACATTTACATTATATATATATATATATATATATATATATATATATATATATATATATATATGAGAGAGGATCCACCCAATGGGTGCAGCTCAGTTGGTAACTTGGCGCTGAGTTAGTGGGGTTGGATATGTGTTCGATTCCCGCTGAATGCATTCTTGGGGAGGGGGCTGAACCTTTAGCCATCACTGTTCCCCCGCACTCCGGATTAGTCCCATAGCCGGCTCAAAGAGTCGAAGCTCGTGGGGATACCGGAGGGAGCCAACTCGTCTCAATGAGATAATTAGGGTTGGGTAACTCCAAAAAAAAAAAAAAAAATATGAGAGAGGATCCATTGACACTAGTGTCAAATTTAAAATTTTACACCTCAACGGTCTAATGGCTATCATATGAGGTGTCAAATTTAAAATTTGACACCTCATCTGAGAGCTATTAGATCAAAAAAGATCAACGACTCTATTTTGTAAGCATGTAACACCATTGATCTTTTTTTATCTAATGGCTCTCAGATGAGGTGTCAAATTTTAAATTTGACACTGGTGTCAAAGGATCCTACCTCACACACACACACACACACATATATATATATATAGGGTAAACATTTCTACAGCCACTTTAAATAAGATTATCAATAGCTATTCCAAAAACTACGTCGTTTTGATTAATTAATGATGTTTATGTAGTTTTAGGTGAATTAGTGAAGGGTATTTTCGTAATTTTGTTTATTTTTTATCATACACATTTTACTAAAATACCCTTCACTAATTCACTTAAAATTACAGAAACACCCTTCATTAATCAAATCGACGTAGTTTTTGAGGTAGTTGTAGATAACTTTATCTAAAGTGATTGTAGAAATATTTTTTCCATATATATATATATATATATATATATATATATATATAGTTGTAGATAACCTTATTTAAAGTGACTGTAGAAATATTTACCCTTATATATCTGTAGATAACCTTATCTAGAGTGACTGTAGAAATATTTACCCATATATATATTGTAGGGACCTGCGCGGTAAAGACTCAAATGCACAAGCAACTCAAGCTCCTTATAAAATCATTTAAAAAAAAAAAAGATTGCCAATTTTAATATACTAACAGTAGTGCCACATATATAGTAAACAGAGACAGATAAGAAAAAGAGACTATAATAGAATCAAATATATATGACACAACCAAATGGTGGTAGCTCAGTTGGCGCATAAGAGTTAAGCTGGTGGGGGTGAGAGCATGTGCTCGAATCTCCTCAGTATCACATTTGGGAGGGGTTTAAAGCCTTAATCTTGATCCGTCCCGAATCGGATTAGTTGCGAAGTAATGAACCGATTTGAATATTTTCAAAAAAAAATATATTAAAAAAAAATATATGACACAGATAAGAAAAAGAGACTATAATATAGTAAATTCTGAAAATGATAACAATATTTACAGTTAATATAAGATTAATATTACAACTTGTCTATCAAAAAATAATATTAAAACTTAAGGGAAGGTTATACATACAACTTATTTTTGTTTACAACCTTTTACAACCATATATTAACCGTTGATTGACGGAAATCAACGGTTAAGATATTGGTTATAAAAGGTTGTAAACAAAAATATGTTACATATAACTTTTTAATATTAACCAATTACTATATCAGAAAAGAGGAATGTTATACTTACAACCTATTTTTGTTTATAATTTTTTACAACCAATATCTTAACCGTTGATTTCCGTCAATCAACGGTTATTATTTTCACAAATCAAACTCATTAATTAATATTTAATTTATTATAAATGATAACCGTTGATTGACGAAACTCAATGGTTAAGATATGATTGTAAAAGGTTATGAACAAAAATAGGTTGTAAGTATAACCTTCCCGGTAAATTATATATGCGTGTGTGCGTTTGTTTTGATATATTAAGGTTTCTATTTTACTTTAGGCTTTAAGTTTTAGGGGAATATTATACTTACAACCTATTTTTATTTATAACTTTTTACAACCAATATCTTAACCGTTGATTTTCGTCAATCAACGATTATTATTTTCGCAATATATGCCTGTGCAATATCTTTCAAGTTACCAACAACGGGTTTGTAGGCTAGCCATTAATCAAGCCAGATCATCCAGCTCTGCAACCACAGCAAGGGTTATTTTCGTCCATAGTTTTGCCTCATTATTTCGTTTCCTGGCTAAACACAAAATATCACCATGTGTGTAATTTTCTGGAACAGTGATAAACATCAAATTTTACAAAGAAATCGGAAAGGCTAGGGAAGCAATTTGCCTACCTAAATTTTTTTCATTCCAATACCAAACGTGGTCAAACACAAAACCCAAAGAAAATTACCTAGGTATCTCTACCAAAACTCTCTGCCAAACACTCCCTAAGACTTTAAATTATTAAAGCCTTATTTATTTAGTTAATTATTATTATTTGAAATAATAAAAAATATATTATATTTATGGGAAGCTTTCGGGTTGGTCCTAACTCTTAAAATTTTGTGGAGCTTTTAATCCATACAATCTTTTATGTACTTTTTAACCTTAATCCATATGAAATAGGGTTTAGTGACACGCACTGACACATTTTAACATCTATGGTGAGTAAATAGAAATCGTGCTTGTTTTGTATATGAAGTTGCATTAAATAATACAGCAGTTGTTTTGGTGTAATTGAAATGCTTGGAGATTAAATGTAAATGTGTTAAATTATTATACTTGATTCAATTCTTAGGAGCTGAAGGATTTTTTTTTACATTACATGGGAATTGAATACACACTACTACATTACATACACCTAACACGCACCCCACACCACTAGGCTAATCCTAGTGGATAATAAACTCCGAAGGATGTTAAAAGGTTTGGATTATCAGTCAGTGAAATACATTGCAACTTGAACTGAGAGGTTTCACTGCACGATTCATTGAGGTATAAGAAGGATGCTTAGAAATTGTAGCAGATATTATTGAACTTTATTTATGCAGTAAATATGACCATGCATATCCACAAGGCATGTCGAGTCATTCGCAAAGAATAATGTTTGATGCACCTCTCTTAAGCTTTCCATCTTCTGACATCACTTTGCGAATTGCGGTAGCAGAATTTGAGTGTATACAAAACGAGGTGGAATTAGATGTAGTTATGATAAAAATTATATAAATGTGAAATGATCTGTATATGATTTTGTGTTTGTTATATCATTATTCTTTTGCAAAAAGACTTCTGTAATTGGAATTTTTAGAAAGACGCACTGCTTCATATTTATTCAAATGAATTGGAGCATTAATATTTGTTTTCCCAATAAATAAATAAAAAAAAGCACCATTAACGAGATTCATAGAAAGCAACGAGGGGGCGTTTGGTTCAGGAAATTTTTTTGGAATAGTAGGAAAATGATATAGATAGAGAAATGATTGGAAAGATAGATAAAGTGAGATAGGTAGAAAAATGTAAAAAAAAGTTGTTTGGTGAGAAAAAACTTTACTGGGAAAATTAAGTAACTTTATGAAATTAACAGTGCATTAAAAGCCAGATAAACGGTTTTCCGAAAAATCTCACCTTCAAATTGGGTTTCTAAACAGTACGGATATCTATGTTTCTCATAAATCCAGACAAATTGGATAGATGGGTTTTTGGTGAAAAACGTTGAAACAAACATGGTGTTCTAAAAGCCATACTTGAGAAAGATAGATATCCACTAAAAAGCTCCCAACCAAACACCACCTGAGAGTGAACGACAAAAATAAAACCAATTCCTTACTACTTGCTTCTTACTACTATCATATATATTAATTAAATTTAAGTAAAAATACTTATAATTAATTGGAGAAAGTTGTTTCTTGCTCTTATTTCACAACAAAACTATCATGTATATTATATTATGACTTCGTTGTAAATTTCAGTTTGATTTGCTTTGTATTAAAAAATAAAAAACTTTCCATTTAAAAGACCTTAAAACATTTTAGTTATTAATAAATGGGATATTTGCTTACTTAAAAAAAAGGATAATTATATTTACAATTTTTTTTTTATAAACTATACTATTAACTAAGCATAGTATACTGTGTGTTGAAATATACTATGAAGTTCACCAATGTCCTGTGATTTGCTCCAGAATCACCTATGTCCCTGTGGTTCTTTTTTCTATCACATATGCCCTTGTGGTTTTTTATTTTTTACACAGCACATGGGCATATGAGATAAAAAAAAAAACCACAGAGGCATAGGTGATTCTGAAGCAAACCACAGTGACATTGATGAACTTTTCCCAATATACTATCCTTAATAGATATAAACAGTGTTTAAAAACCCTGACTGGCCATCGACCCCGCCGAAGTCAGGGGTCACGGAGTCACGGGTTCAACCGGAGGGTCACGAGGTCACTACGCTGACCCGATTTTATATATTAAAAAATATAAATAAATATATCCTACATGAAAATATTAAAAAACAAACCACCAATCATCAAAAATTCAAAATATGTCATTACAAAAAAAATACTCAAAATATACTTAACATAATTCATCAACTACAACCACAAGTCAATATTACATAACCTAATTAAAGTATCAAGATATCAAAGTACAAAACTCATATTCTTATGGGTCACTGTGCTGACCCGGTTCTACCTCTTTGTTTGAGTAGGTCTTGACAAAAGAAAATTTAAAGTAAGTAAGAATGAGTTTGTGTTTTCCATTGACGACCGTACGAATTTCATTTGAATGGGTAAAATTCTTACCTTTTTTTAGAAGATTCACGGCAGCGAGGTGAAGATAGAAGATGTCTAGGTCGCTGGAAGAGAAGAGAATGATTAGATTTAGGTTTGCAAGCATTTTTATTTTATTTTTTAATGAAACGATGTTGTTTCATGGAATTTAAAAAAAAAAAAAAATGCAGTGTCCCCTCCTGACTCGGGAGTCACCGGAACCCAGCCAGATTTTGGGAGTCGGAGGGGTGATATGCATATAGGGTCCAACTTGTGACCCCAACCCTCACAGGGGAGGGGTCAGGGTTGACTCGGGTCAACTGGGGGTGGAGTGAGGTTTTAAAACACTGCATATAAACAAAGGATTTTATAAGAGTTATGTTGTGGGAATAGTGAATGTGTAATGTTACAGAGATTCGTTTTGCGTGTCATAATTTTTTTTTTTTTTTTTCAAAAAGTGTGGGCTTCACAAAATGGTATATGGATAATAAATTTTTTTGTGTCATATTAAATGATAAATGCAAACACCGTAAACAAAATTTATAAATTCAAAGAACAACAATTGTACAGAGAGAAAATGAAGATAATTTTTGGTATTTCACCCAGGTCAGGTTAAGAATTAAGGTAACTCTGGGAGTCGTAGGTTCCAATACTAGAAAGAAAAGAAAAGAAGGAGATTATAGTGTGTTTTGTTACTTTACCACACCTAGGTTTGTGCTGTGGCTTCTAACATTGCTTTGTCTCCATTTTTCAAGAGCCGTTGTTGGCTTTGGCTGCGCGGACTCCATACGCAGCAGAATCTTCACTGTTCACCAATGGAGTCTTCTGACAACAACAAGAAAGAGCAAGTGCCACCCACACCCGAAGACCCCGAGAAGAAAAAGAAGAAGGAAGAAAAGGTTTTTCTATCATCTTCATCTTCTTCTTCTTTATCCTGATTGTTTTGCAAATCGGGATTTGCATTAATGAGATTTAAGAAGAAAAAAATTATGCTTTTTGAATACCCTTTTCTTAAATTCGAGTACTCATGGGAATGGAAGGAATTTATTTGTCTTATAGAATGGCTACTGCCAAGTTTTCTTAAAAAAAATAAAATTATTTGAAGGCATTTTGAATGGAATTATAATATGCAATGGTTTCTAATTTATATTTTCTCATGTGACAATGTTATGGCTTTGTCCTAGGCAAGAGAGAAACAATTGAAGAAAGAGAAGTTTCTTCAGAAGCAAGCTCAGGTGAAATTGCAACAATTGATTTTGCTAATTTTTTATTTTTCCTGTGTGATTTTTATCAATTTGATCTTGTAAACAATGTTCATATTTTTTTCCCTTTCTTTCATTTGGTGTTAGCAGCAACAAGCACAACAATCATCCAATGCTTCTAAAAAGAGTGAAAAGAAAACTGTGAAGCGCGGTGCAGAGGATGAGAATCCTGAAGATTATATTGATCCCGAGACTACATTGGGTGATAAGAAACGTATGTCTAGTCAAATGGCAAAACAGTACAGTCCAACTGCCGTGGAAAAATCGTGGGTGTTAAATCCATCTTTATGCTCATTAGACTTTAATTGTGTTAAGTGCTCATCTTTTACGTTTGCTAAACTTTAGGTGGTATGAATGGTGGGAGAAATCAAGGTTGTTTGTGGCAGATGCTAGCAGCTCCAAACCACCTTTTGTTATTGTGAGTTTCTTGTTGAACATATATATGTTGTTTTCTGATGCCATGTGAAACTGTTTTGGCTCCAATTTTTCTACCTGAGAGTAAAAATCAATTATGTGTATACAATTAGACGATTTGGTGTAATTAGAGATTTGCGTGTGCGTTATGGAGTGCGAAGTAACCATTTGCTGAATAGTGGGAGTGATCCTTCCCAATTTCGGAGATCCTTCTAATGAAAAATTAAAATCTATTGGTCCATTTCTTGAAGTGCTTTATCTTGTAGATTAAGAAGTTTCTCAAAATTCAATTGTATTACGTTAGGTGTTGAATGTTATCTCATTAAATTGCACCAATAGATTCCCAAATTGTGTATTATTGATCAGTGCTTGTCTTTTTTGGATTTGAATGAAATATAGTGTCTTGTTCTTGCTTAAAATCTTGAAAAGATTTAGGCTATATGCTTTTTTGCACTTCTTCTGAGGAATGTGCAAAGTGGCTGTACAAATTCAAATGTAATAAAAATTTATGTTTTTTTGCTCCCTTTTTATGTCTATTGAGAATTTGATTGTGCTGTATTTAGGTTTTGCCTCCACCAAATGTGACTGGTGCTCTCCATATAGGTCATGCTCTAACAGCTGCAATAGAGGTATCTTATATATCCCATTTTCCCTGCTCAGTTTAGCTGTTCAAAATGGCTATTCTCAATGAGGTTTATTGCTTGCAGGACACAATGATTCGTTGGAGAAGAATGTCTGGATACAATACTTTGTGGGTGCCTGGGATGGATCATGCCGGGATCGCAACACAGGTTCTATTTCTAAATTGAAGATTTCATGTAGTCCTTAACTCTTGTAATTTATCATTTATTGTGGATGTCATTGTTGGGTGGTGGAGGAAAGGCTACTTATTTGGCTAAGGCTTTCAAGTTTCCCTTGTTTGGATAAACTATGATTGTAGGAACTTTTTTGTTTTAAAAGGAAAAGTTATTTTCAATTTAGATACAATGTTTAAGAAGTACTTGTACTAAAAACCACTTGTTCAGTTGTGCTTAGTTGCCTATGCACATTTAATTTAGTGCTGTCAATGTGTGAACGTAAAGTAGTTTTTGCTCACTGTGTGGTGGGATTTCTTTTAAAATGTTAGCTTCTGAGACAGAATGACTCCCCCCCCCCCCCTCTTTTGTCATACATCTTTTTGTCACAAATTCGTTACTAGAAACAAATTGGATAGTTCTTTCGCTGCACAGTTAAGGGCAGAAAAGGCAGCATATAGGTAGAAGTTTTAATTTTTCCTACAATTTGTGTCATACTGTCATTGACTTCAAATTGTAGTGTAAGCCCTATCTCAAATTTGATTTATGGTGCTCATGTACTATGGGTTACTCTTTAATGATATATATCTTAATTTTCTTGTTTCAGCATGTCTTTTATGTGTGAGGTGACGTTAAATTATGTAAATTATGATTTTTATGCCACAGGTAGTTGTGGAGAAAAAGATAATGCGTGAAAGACAACTAACCAGGCATGATCTGGGCCGTGAGAAATTTATCTCTGAGGTATGTTTTGTAAAACAAATTTATCTCTCAAGGTTCTTAATAGCCTGATATCTTCTATTTTTTGTCCTGACTCTTATGACCAACTTTGAAGAATATTGGCAAAAATAGGTATGGGAGTGGAAAAACAAGTATGGTGGCACGATATTACAACAATTACGCCGATTAGGAGCCTCTTTGGATTGGTCTCGTGAGGTAAATATGTATTTTTATTTTTATTTTTATTTTTATTTGGAGGTGTAGGATAAATGAAGAATCCGTTAAGGAAGAAAAAACATGAACTCGTAAGAACAATCCCTGTTCCTTTGCATGTCCAACCTGAAACACTCTTATAAAACCCATTAGCAGAAGCCCATTATGAAGCTAAGAAACTGAAAAAAAAGCCTATCCAATAGGAATCAGATAGCTATTTGTCATGCCATTGCACTGTCATAGTGTGATAATTGGCTTCCTTATTTATCTCTGTCTCACTTTCTATTTCCAGTGCTTCACAATGGACGACAGAAGATCTAAGGCTGTGACAGAGGGTTTTGTGAGGCTTTACAAGCAAGGCCTTGTCTATAGGTGGGGTGGGCTTTGGCAATATGCATTGTCTTTATGTAATGCTTTTATTCATAACTTCTGAATTGTAGGATCTTCGTTGATGCTGATTTCAATTTTTAATTTTTACTCAAACACTAATTAATAGAGATCCTTGATTATATCTGGACAAGCTTTAGTTAATGCGTTATTGGAAACACTATAGGATGCTTATTTGTTATCAACCATGGGTAATAATATATTATATATACACAAATCAAATTTAGGTGTAAGACTTTTTCTTAGACCTGGTTACCATACGATGTTCCTCAATTACACACACACATATGTCAAAGGCTGTAAGGCAAAATCTTTTAGATAAACTTCCTGCCACATGTGGATCTAAAGTCAGAGCGAATCACGTGGACTACAGCCATATTTTGGGAACATGATAAGATTTAACCTTCAGCATAGACCAAAATATATAGTGGACTTGCAAACTTTTTTCTGTTGAATCACAATTGTAATTATGATGTTGCGCATTTTTGGGCAAAAGATGTGTTATATCCTTTGATGAATTGTTGGAATCTAAATACTAAGATACATTTATGTGCAAATGTGCTACATGGTAAATTATATGATATATATTTATGTGAATTAAGTTAAATTCAAATGTCTTGCTGATGTGATTCTGTTTACTAAGCTTTGAGTGCTCCTCTAGTTATCAACTTCTTTTGACATGATTTATACGTAATTTTGTTATTGTATATGCCCATTTATATGATTCAACTTGCTCTTTTTTGGCGATATTACTTTTTTTTTGGGTCATTGTTGCAGGGACCTTCGTTTAGTAAATTGGGATTGTGTGTTACGGACGGCAATATCTGATATTGAGGTATGCAATGCGTTTACTTAGCTGTATCTTCTGAAGTATTGCATATGTAATGTAATTGCTTGCTGCATGCAGGTGGATTACATTGATGTAAAAGAAAGGACTCCACTAAAGGTTCCAGGATATGACAAACCAGTGGAATTTGGAGTTTTAACAAAATTTGCATACCCTTTGGAAGGGAACCTAGGTGAAATTGTTGTTGCCACGACTAGAATAGAAACTATGCTTGGTGACACTGCTATTGCTATACATCCTGATGATATCAGATACAGCCAATTTCATGGAAAATATGCTATTCATCCATTTAATGGCAGAAGACTTCCTATAATTTGTGATGCCATCCTTGTGGATCCGGAGTTTGGGACAGGTGCTGTTAAGGTATGCTCTATATGTATGACTAAAGTTCTGTTGAACTTCTTTTTCTAGTGATATTGTAATGTTTTGGTACTTTCTTTATTCCTTTCAGATTACACCTGCCCATGATCCAAATGATTTTGAGGTGGGAAAACGTCACAACCTTGAATTCATTAATGTTTTCACTGATGATGGGAAAATAAATTCTAATGGTGGCTCTGAATTTTTGGGCATGCCACGATTTAAAGCTCGAGTAGCAGTAACTGAAGCATTACAGAAGAAGGTATTGTTGTTAATAGAATTCTTTGTTTCACATGAAATCTTTGGTGCTTAGGTAACAAATATGTTAGTTTCACATGTATTTGTGTGTAATCTGACTTATGATTGCTTGTCTTGGTGACAAGGGGGAGTTATAATTTATATTATTATTGTTTTTAATATGTCGCATATGATGTTCTTCTTTTGGCACCCCATTTATCTATTATTAAGTAAATTGTGTAATTCTGTAAGTGGTAGTTGCCATGATATGAAAAAAACAATTTTTGGTATTTCCTGTTTCATTTGTTTTCTTCTTTTACATAGGGCCTTTAGCCATGATATTTGGTATTTCCTGTTTCATTTGTTTTCTTCTTTTATATAGAGTCTTTATAGAGGTTCTGAAAACAATGAGATGCGCCTTGGTGTATGTTCTAGAAGCAATGATGTTGTGGAGCCCATGATAAAGCCCCAATGGTATGTCAGTTGCAATGACTTGGCGAAGCAAGCTCTTCATGCTGCGACGGATGAGGAAAACAAAAAGCTAGAGATTATTCCAAAACAATATTTGGCTGATTGGAAGAGGTGCGTATATCTTGGTTTGCTTTTTGCAATTTCTTATAATGAGCATTTACAAAACTTATCCTTCTGAACATTCCTCTGAAATGTGGTCTAGGATCCAAACCACAATACAATGAGTTCCACCCCATAGAGATAGTTTAGCATCTCCAGAATCTTTACAATAATAGTATCACCTATGAAGCACCGACACTTCAAAAATCCTGACGTGTCGTGTCCGACACTTCTAGACACTCTCCGACACTCCAACACGTGTTGTAAAAACTCAAAAAATGGTTCAAAGATTGTGTTGCGTTGCATTTTTAGTTCCAATTATTAGATTCGTTGGATTACGATTACTATTTTATTGAGTTTAATATAAATATTTGGGATATTTTATGTTTCTTTGCAAAATTGATTGGTATTATAAGTTTAACTTCATTTTTTTGTTAAACTATTGAATATTAAATATAATATACACTACATAAATTAAAATTATTATTTAATATCAAAACGTGTCCTAACGTGTCGAAATCTAACATTTTTAAAATTAACGTGTCGGAGTGTCGTATCGTGTCGTGGCACGTGTCGCGTGTCGGTATCGGTGCTACATAGAGTATCACTATCTGTATAATTATTAGTGAGAAATGTTTTGAGGTTGAATTTGGCTATACTTAGTAGAGTTCAAGACTGTAACTGGGGCTGGCAAAGTATCAAGAGATATAATCAATTGAATTCATTGTCACTGCTTTCCTTCTATTAGAATATTTAGACCATATCTCATAATATCATTATAATATCTCAAAATATTTTAGGGTGTCTTAGATGATCTCTTAGGAGTGGTTTCCATATTTCATGAACTGTTTCTTTATTTAATTAGGATTAGCATTCTAATATTAGTATAAATTGGGATTAGTGAATTGTATATTTTAACTCATCATTACAATTTACACACCATTAGAGCCTTTTAAGAAAGTATATAACGGGAGGAGAAAAGCCCATGTGGGGAATAAAGAGTTGATGGCAAAGGAAAACCAAGGTGAGCAGTTAGTCACAAGAAAGGACACATGGCATGCTACGAATGGAGAGGAAAATTTCCAAGAGAGTGGTGAGGCTGATTCGGAAAGGAATAGTGAGATATAAGGCAGTTAGGAGTGGGGAGTGAGCGTAGAGCATTTTGTAACAGAAAGGGGAAAAGGAGGGTTGCTGGGAGGTAGCAATTCCTAGTGGGTGTGGGTAGTATTGTAGTAGCTGTCTTCATTCCTTTGTATTTGCAATTGGGTAGTTGAATGTTAATTTTCTTCTTCACTGTTCTGAAATACTCTGTAACCAGACATTAATAGTGAATCGTTTTCCTTCTTCTTAGACTTGTGCTTCGTTTACATTCTGTTTATTAAATTTCTGGTACCAACATCCTATAGTTTCAATACCCTCCAATTTTTACACTCAACCAAGTATTGGGCAAACACAGAAGGCAAATTGTGGAAGGGTGATATTGTAATGGATTCAGAGGGAGGTTTATTTTATATTAAGTTACATTTATGATATGTTGTGGCTGGCAACTTGCCGTGCTCTTATGTTTTTGTGCCTTCATTGCTTTTATAATTGTATAATGTAACCATGTCTTAACCAAGGTGTAAAGTTTTGCAGATGGCTAGAAAACATACGTGATTGGTGCATTTCACGGCAGCTATGGTGGGGTCACCAAATACCTGCATGGTATGTCACTGTAGAGGATGACATACTGCAGGAATTTGGTGCTTACAACGATCATTGGGTGGTGGCAAGAAATGAAAAGGAGGCCCAAGATGAGGCTAGCCAAAGGTATAATGGAAAGAAGTTTCGTTTAGGCCAGGATCCTGATGTTCTTGATACGTGGTTTTCTTCTGGTCTGTTCCCATTATCTGTGCTGGGATGGCCTGATGACACAGAAGACCTGAAGGCATTCTATCCAACTTCTGTTTTGGAAACTGGCCATGATATCCTCTTTTTTTGGGTTGCTCGTATGGTGATGTTAGGAATGAAGTTGGGTGGCGATGTGCCTTTTAGAAAGGTGAGGTTACTATCTCTTGCTGATAGTTTGGGAAGGGCTTTATCCTTGTATAGGCATAATGAATTTTTTGTGATACTGGTGATTTTTTTTTTCTGGCTAAAATAAGAAATTCAGTAAGACAAAGAATGTTACAAAGTGATCTGAGGATAAGAGAGATACTCAGTAAAAAAAGGAAAAACAGCCCTGAGAAAACAAAAAAAAAACATCAATGAAGGCATGAAGCAAAGCTAAATCTAACCAATCCCTTGTGCATGCCTAGAAATTTTGATCAATGACCTTCTCAATGATGTACTTACAACCCCGTGCAGATTTATTTGCATCCCATGATTCGTGATGCACATGGGCGCAAGATGTCCAAGTCTTTGGGGAATGTTATTGATCCCATTGAAGTAATAAATGGGATATCTCTGGAAGGCCTACATAAGAGGTTAGAGGCCGGTAACCTGGACCCCAAAGAACTAGCTACTGCCATAGAGGGTCAGAAAAAGGACTTTCCAAATGGTATTGATGAATGTGGTGCTGATGCTCTCCGTTTTGCACTGGTCTCGTACACAGCTCAGGTGTCAACCTTGTACCAACATTTATATGACTGATTTTTTCACCAATTTAGTTAACTTCTGTGATTTAATTGTGCTGTTTTCGTTCATTTCAGTCTGACAAAATTAACCTAGATATTCAAAGGGTGGTTGGGTATCGCCAATGGTGTAATAAATT